GCGGTTAACTGACCCCGTCATTTTTTTTTTTGTCCGAACACTTGGTGCGGGTGGTCTCATGCTAAAGTAGCTGCTGAGCAGTGTTTGGTTCGTGCGCCCTGAAGCATTGCATCGAAGACAAGGGGGCATCCAGCATTCAGTGCGAGGGGGTCAAACCAAATGTTTCGCGCCGGCCTGTGTCGAGAGAAGAAAAATGGTGGCATTTTTGCTGTGGTGGGACAAAAGACCCGTTGGCCTCTCTGATCCGCCAGTGACCCCTGATCACATCGCCTCGGGCGGCTGCCCAGCGACCCGCCGCTGTCCGCTGGGTCGACGACTCCGAAGTTTATCCGCCAGACCATGATGGTGCGGCCCGACCTCGTTAGAATCTTTTGGCACCGTCTGTATTCTCGTGATGGGGAGCTTCTGCATCCTCGTGATGGGGAGCATCTGCATTGGAAACTACACTGCACACTCTAAAAATCGTATGCTTATTGAATGTTGAGAACGGGCGAGACATTGCACCACCTATAGGCATGTCATCTGGTATCTACGTGAGCATTCGAAACCACACCTCTCGGGACGCTGTTTCGCAGTCCTATATGTAGAAGTGTGGTGTTTAAAACACGCACCCGCCGCTGTTGTTCCGTTTAGATCGTTCCACGACAAAGGACCAATGTAAAGTTTAATCCATGATGACAAGACGATCCTCGGTCTGCGAGGCTGCAGGCTGCTGACTCCGATGGAGCCGCTGTCCTGGGAACTTGACAGCTTGTCGGGAGAATGTATGTGCGTACTGGTTGCGTTGCCCGGCCTGCAGTGATCGCCGGGCTTGTCATGCACGTGCCAGCGCCTCCTTCGATGTGTAGTTGGCGATCACGGAGTATTGGACGCATATCCCGGACGAAATGATGTCAGGAGAACGACTCTGAGTCCAGCTCTCGGCAGGAAAAGTTGACCACCAAGCGGGCCCATATCAACCAGGCTTTGCCTGATTGATGTCAATGATCTTTCAGTCGATGATCTCGTTGATCCTGCCCTGGAAACTATACTGCTTCGGTCAGGCGTTTCCACAGAAAGATGCGTTCCAGCTGACTTCTCACAATTCAAATGCATCTCCCATGTGAACACATTCATCTATCGGCAATGCAGCGATGTTGAATGCTTTCCAGGTGATGTGTCTTCGAGGTTCCCCGTTGTCACTGTTGTCACCCGATCAATGTGGTGGTGATGGGATGAGGCCGCTGGGTGGCATCAGTAACAGTGCGAGCGTTACTTAGTATTGGCAGGTTAGGCGTACGCAAGGGAGCCTTGGCCAGGCCAGTTCTCAATTGACATTCTCAAAGAGGGCAACGGCGACCATTTTGTAATGTCAGTTCTTCCAGTCACAATTACCTTGGGCTTCGGCCGCACCCGCTCTTCGTCTTCCGTTAATGGGCCTCACAAGTAGAGCTGAGTACGGCAACAGTGATGCAAGATGAACCAGTGCCTAATTTCTTCTTGGGTCATCTCCGTATGTACCGGTATTGATATAAATTATCTACGCATTTACCCAACACACACGTTTCAAATGTCCACGTGCTTTGGACGCTAGGCCACGCCAAACTGTGGTGCACCTTATATGAAACCCCATCTCGTTTCTAGGAACCCAAAACTATTGAGCACTGGCAAGGTTGTAGCAGATAGGAATAAGAAATTAAATGGACGAGTACAATAACGTGCACGCTATTACTTTAGAAATTACCTTATTACAGGCTACACGTCATTCCGTCCTTAATTTGATGAGCATTGCTTTACACCGGTCCAGATGCGGGGCGCCATCCCGAGTTTCGTTTTCTTTACAGCACCCTGACTCCAACCACTGAAATCAAAGCAACAACGCATTTCTGTCCTGAACTTACACGATATAGTCACCAATCCAAGGTGACTGCCGTCACTCAAGCGTACCGGTAGGAACACGAGGGCTTCGATTCCCCGTCATGTTTGGTCCGGGTGGCACCCTGGAGGGATGTCTAGAGGACTAAGGTCCGGCAGGTGTAGTAACCTTGGTTTTGTAATAACAGATCTTGGTTTCTAGCAGGCTCGTGAAGCATGTGAACAACCTGTGGTGTCTGGGACGAGTGCTAAGCTCTGCCCACCAAAGTATTGAAGTACCGCGCATGTGTTTTCATGTCTGAATTGCTGGGTTTCCCTGGAAAAACACTTAACTACCTTTGAAAGCAACATTACTCGTGCCTGCTGTACATAAGTTAAATGGTCCTTAATAAAACGTGCCCCTTTTGGCTGGGAATTATTCAACTCGTTAGCACTGAATCGAAACTCTTATGCCCAACTATGCTCATAATTTGTCCAATGCGCTGGCTTTACAGCACAGCCCCGCAGGCGGCCAAGTTTATCAGGAAGAGGCGAATTTAGAGCGTCGTCTGTGACCTGTGGTCCATAATTGATTCCGTCTGCAACTTGCGGAAGTCAACCAAACAGAAAATTGTCAATTTCTCTTACTTCACGTGCTGCAACTAACGGCACAGGGCTGTCCCGCCTCCCCCCGGTTCCCGGGGCACATGGTCGTGTGATCATATGCGGTCGTTGCCAGAATGCAATGTTCTCGATGGAATGGTATCTGTGCCACCCTACGCGTCCGTCGGGCGACCGTTACGTCTGACGTTAAGTTGTGGACACCAGGGGAAGCATAGGCCCGTCTTGTCGTGGATTATGATCATCCCGTGTAGCGGGACGAGGTCGACACCCAACCGGGTGAGGTCACCGATAGGTGATACCAACGAGTATTGTGGTATGTGGGAGACATTATGTGTTGGGTGAGCACAGTGGACGTCGCTATAGGTTAGCTGCACTGTGGCTTTTACTGTGTTGTGTTTTACTTTTACTGCACTGTGGCACTGTGTTGAACAACAGTATGGGTGTCATCTAAAAATAAACGATGGCTAGTGTAGCTACTGTTTGGCGGCTGACGGCATATTGCCAGTCATGAATGGGCAGATTGCCCCCGTCGTGAATTGATGCAGCTGTCCCGAGCCATGGTGGGGACGTTATAGCGTGCAACCCGACAGCCGATCTTTCTCGCTCTTCGTGATCCGTCCCTCCCTGGACGCTTGTCCCTTTCCGTCAGTCGGACCGCCGTCACCTTGATGGATAGCACCAAATCACCACAACCACCGCGCACCGGATCACCACGACCATCGCAGAAGTGTTAACTAGTCTGGGCCACTCGGCCGCGGCCAGCCGGCTGATAGCCGGGGCCCTGAGGTGCGGGTTATCACGTTTGTGTTCCACTGCACGGGGCTCGGGTCATCAACTGAAGAAAACAACAGGGCAACTACTGCCAGCTTTTTCTAGCGGCGCCGAAGACAGCGACGAGCGCGACACCCGGACTTTGGCTGAATTTTGTTACGCCCATACACTTTCTGTCAAGTTACTGGGATGCTCGGTCTTTTTGCTAGCTTATCCGACACGGTTTGTAGTAATTCGTTGAAGTTTCCAGACGTTTCTCAAGGACGTGGACTAGCTTTGGAGCTGGTTATCTGATGATAATGCTGCATATTGTGTCAAATTTCCGGTACGTGGCACGGGCATGGGGCGATTTTACGTTTCCATAATCGGAGAGACATCCAGCGAAAATTGGCGATCGTGCTGAATCATTGTCCCTCAAAATGTTGCGCCCTGCCTCGTATTTGCACGACTGAATGATGGGCTGTTACGGGATAGGTACACGTAGGTTAATTATTTCACACGCTAGTGCAGACATACAAGAAATGCGTTTTAAGATTTAAATATAAAATTTGCACTTAAGGCTATACAGGCATAAGCAATATATATATGTATATATATATATATATATATATATATATATATATATATATATATATATTTATTTATATATGCATATATATGTATATATACGGCCTCATGTTTTCAAAAGGGGTGCAGAGGAATATAACCTCAACGTTGATGATAAGTGTCGGGTGAACCTTTGTACTCTAGCTGTCATTGATTCTCCATTGCTCAGCTTGGCTCAGTTCAGTTTATTGGAAGCAATGCTCGAAGTAAGTTTCGCTATTTCCCTTCAGAAAATAACGGAAACACTACAGCTAGGTTGAATATTACGCAGGACATCCAAGTATGAAATATATGCACGGAAGTTGAAACGTCAAGTGTACAGCTAACTGGCTTGTTGTGCGGTTATAGCGGGCTGTCATTAGCTGACTTTGGCTAATGACTACTTTAACCTTTTCATCTATGATTTTTCCCTGCCTATTACATAACACAATTCCTTCGGGTCTGCACAACCTATTCACCTGCTTCTTTACGTTTGTTTCATCTTCCTAGCTGGGAGTGCCGCGACTTGATTTTATGTTTTCTGGTGTTAACGCACGGTTTACTGCGTCGCTGGGATTGAGGGAGGGGCACCCCTGGTTACCTGTTCTTGGGTAACGGCATAGGGGAAAAAATCGATATGTCATGCAGATAACACACAAATCTTAACGACAAGCTTTCCTCATATATTACGTATTGCAGTCTTGAAAGGGCTCGGTGCGGTGATAATGCGAAAAGAATATGGCAGGCGACTCTATGCAGAGGCTGCGCGATATGAAAGGACGCTCTACATCAAAGCGAGCCTGAACTTGCGGACGCGGAGCCTGCCCTTGTGAGAGGCACGTGTTTCACGCGAGGACACGACGACACGCTCTGCAAGCAGCGCCCAGTTCTCGATAGGCGTGCCCTCCCGCGTCAATAGCTGTCAAGGCATTGACGCGGAACTGCAGGATGTATCTATTTGGGGTAACGATCAATGGCCACACATATAGCGGCGTGGCACACGAAGAACTGTAAGTCCAAAGTGTGACACCTGTCGTGACCTAGAGCCTGCCGTGAAGTGAAGTAGCGATCTCATGCAACTCTTCACCGACGAAGAACTGACCCCAAGTGTCTGACCTTACCCCAGCCCCAGCCATCGACCTCGACCCGTGCCCAGGCTCGTGCTGACCTTGAGCGACAACCGACAGGCGGAGAACGCGCTGACTACATACGCGCCGCACGCCTGCGTCGTCGTCTACTCCATCACCGACCAGGCTAGCCTCAAGTCAGCCGAGGACACGCTCAGCTTCCTCTGGCGAGAGGGATTCATCCGGGATAACTCGGTCATCCTGGTCGGCAACAAGAGCGACATGGTGCGCGCGCGCGTGGTCACCATCGAAGGTGAGCCTAGCGAGCGCCCTCATCCCCGTGCCAGGCGCCATTCGGGGTCAACCCACGCGTCTGGAGCGCATCGGTCACCGTGTCCCGCTGTCTGATGGCTGTGTCTGGGGCTCTAGGTACTTACTTATCTCTGGGCTGCAGGTAACTAGGAGCAAGTAAGCAAGTGAGCTAGATAATGTATCAGTACAGTGCCGGCGCCGATCATTTCTCTGGAGCGGCTTGGGGTCCGGCAGCTTTGATGTGCAATTCTGTACATAGCTCTTCGCCTTGCTGTTTGTTTTTTTGTAGTAAAAAATGACAGGACACAATCAGTCGACAGTCCCAGCAGTGGATGAGTGGAAGATGATAAATGATGTGCCCTGAAAGCGACAAGAAAGAAAAACAATCCTGACATGCGTAAACCATGTTGGGAGGCAGTTACTTTTTATTGATGGTGTTCAGCATGTAATTCATTAACACTTTGATAGGTGAACCATGCCACATGCTCGAGACTCAGGCGGGGTGTCAGTCATGGCTGTCACACCAGAGCGTCAATCATGAACGTCGCAAACGGTATAAAATATTGGAGTTATCGCTACAGTGACATTTTCCATTAAATGGTTCCGTTGCGAACGACGTGTACCGCCGTTCGTATCCACTTGCTGCAACTGCATCAGAATCGCGCTTGGCTTTGGGCTCCGCACACCTCAGTCGCGGTTTTTATATAAAATGGTCCCAGCAACTCGGCTTTCTGTGCACGAGCGGTGTCGTCGCTGTCATGTTGTGGCCCTGTTCCCTTGCGAGCGGCGCTCCGCGACATGCGGCGCGGGTTATGACGCGTCCGGCTATTGACGTACGGCTGTGGCGTGGGGTGAGGCGCGTTGGGGGAAAAGTTCAACCGGAAATTGTTTTGGAGCTGAAATGTGTGCACAACATGACAAAAGGAACTACGCTTCAACGCTTTGACAGTGGGTTTACGTCCTTAAAGACCGTTGTTCGTCATTATTATCGGAAAGACTGTAGGCGCCACCTGTAAGCCCAACAAAGGCAAGCTCTCCAAATGTCACGCACTTGGGTCAGAATAATGCAAAAGTGAGGCTTTCACAATACAATGGCTAATTGACACATATATCAGCGTATTTACATTTCATCGCAGGCAGCTCCTAATGTAAAATGTCATTTATAGTGGTACGGGCAACTAATGCAGAGTTTGAAGAAGCAGGGAAAAGATATGGGAAAAATGCTGCCCTCAACGAAATAAAGAATTGCTTTTGGTTGCAAATAAAGGCTTCTGGTTTCTTGATCATCCCTAGCTCCTTTCTTAGAACAATCAAAGATTGACCATAAAGCAGACGCATCAATAAACTCAGTCCACTGTCAATTTTCGTATAGGACAGCATATCTTACGTCCACACGTGCAAAAATACTCCGGTTGAAAAGTAAAACATATTCATTTGTAATGTTGCTCTGCAAGAGCATAGTCAGGCTCCTGCCGTTTGAGAACGGAGTGACAGCCACCCGAAGCATATCTCAGTCATCAAGCTTAACCAGCCCACAAAGGGCACGGTCGGCGAACCCCCTGACCGTCATGAGTGACCGCATCAAGGGTGACGTGGAGCTGCAGCCCCAACTCTCGGGGCGACGAGGTCGTCACTGGCACTGCGCGCGAGGAGTAAACGAAAACATGCTGAGAGTCGTAACCATACGGTAAACACCCCTGGCTGTTTTCATGTTGTGAAAGTCAGCCGGCTGATCCATTTAAGGCTCTCGATATCGTATGAAGTTTAAAATTCTGACGCTATAAGCCGGGTGAACATCACGCCGCTCTGAGGTCAACTGTTCGCCGATTGAAAACGTGACGCGATGGCGAGGCTGCCCCCAGATTGTGCTGAATTGGATATCACTGCTGAGTGTATGACAACCAATTCGATATGACACTAATGGCAGGATCGGAACGTCTTCATCATCCGTAATGAGCTTATCTGCTTGCAACCGTGCTTAATTTCCCCGTTTCCTGGTACCTGCTGCTGGAAGAAAGTAAGCCATTAGGTTTCTTCTCGCTTTAGGTTCACCTTCGCGCATGACTCAGTTGTCATTGCTGAGGAAAGAGCTTATTTCAGGAATGCGTAGAACACGTGTGGTTAGCATTGCAATACAGCTGGATGCGTGCTCACATTGCAGTGCCATTGCAAGTGACAGGTGTCACTGTAGGTGTCCGGGACACAAAGAGTGACACTGTCGAGTCCCGTGCTGCTTTGACCAGTGTAGTAGCCAAATCAGTATGCACACTGTCAAAGGACACCCAAAAGAACACTAAGTCATTTCTGCAATGATAATGAATTTTGGGGAGAATGGTGCCGAATCTCAGCCGATGAACACCATCGTTTGTAGCTTATTGTGCCATGAAAATGATATCATTGTCATGCCATTTACCCTTCTCGCACGGAGCCGTGTCTGGAACGACCTTGAACCTTCACGTCTTTCACATGATTCACTTCGTCGTTCACACAGTTTTGGCAGCCAAATATATTAGGCTGGCCAATTTCAAGGCTAAAATACACCTTTGAATTGTTTGAAATCACTTTATTCATATGTTTTGATTGCGTTTGCTGTAAAAGCTTGCTGAAAATTTCATTCACGCATAACGTTTCGACGACTTGTGACGCAACTGGAGAAGCTGGCTGGAGAGGTGTTTTTTCATGGTTTCGTCACTGGTGAATGTGAAAACTCTAAAACTGTCTTCAGCGTTACCGCTTGTGTTGCCAGCTGCATGCCGCGGGGTTATTTGGTCTCGAAAGCCTCGTGATTCCATTTGCAGCTGGACACAATTTTCCGGTTTGGCGCGTTTGCATAAGGAAGTTATCGATAAAGCCCTCAGACACGCAAGCTCATCAGCCCTGCAGAAGCAATGAGTCGCGAGGCGCCACAAAGGAAGGCGCATCAGGTGTCCGGCGACTATTTCGGCGAAGGCGCCGTCCGGACGTTACTTTGTGTCACGTCACCGTGCCCCACAACACATCCTTTGTTCTTCTAGCTGCCTTTTTTTGCGTGGTCTGACGTATGTAGGTTCTGTGGCACGTGTGCCAGATCGGATGGTTCCTTGGAAAACAATGTCGATGTGTTTGCGTTGGTTTCTGCGCCCACATGTGGCTGCCTGTGGACCGTCTCCCCTGTCTGTAAAGCAGGGGCGTAGTTTCGTAAAATGAGTTGGGGGAGGCTGAGCAGTGAAAAATGACCCAACCCACTCCAAAATATGCTCACATGCAGGCTCATCCTCAGACTTTGACCACTTTCCTCCCAAACTTTGGGGAGGGGACTGCAACTCAGGTTGGAGGGGGGGGGGGGGGCTATAGCCCCCCAATCCTGAACAGAAAACTAACCAACCAGCTAAACTCAGTTCTTAACCACGCCTCCGGCACATCCGCCTCATCTGTGTGCTTTACTTCGGTGGCCTAAACATACAACGCTAAAAGATATGTAGCCGCAACGCACCGATTGGCACGTGCATAGTCGCCACGAGCGTCCGGGCTACATATCGGGTTGCTCACCCTCCTGACCGTTATTCGTATTGTGAACCAACGCGAGGGCTCTTCTCGCCAGCCAACGTGCCGTTTATCCCTACCGGGCGACCGATTCGCCTCACGGTCTCCTTCCCCACATGACTCCTTTTCGCGACGAGGCGAGTTAGAGCCGACGCTTCGTCGCCAGGAGAAGGAATCGCAGGGATAACCCGCGGCCATCTCCTGCCATTCCGTCTCCTCACTGCCGCATGGTGGAGATCATTAACAGCACACGTTAGTGCAGCAATCCGATCACAGAGGGGTCTGTGTCGCCAACCTCATGAGGCCGGTGTCACCGACCTCGCGAGGCCGGCGTGACCGCCGCGCCTGCGTGTCGCCGCGGCTGCAGACGGCCGGCTGGGCGTCACGTGCTGTTGTTTGCAGCCACAGAGCCGGTGATAATGCTGAGTCAGCCACGTTCTTCCACGCATCTAGCACACGAAGCCGGTTCGGAAATGATGTGCAAACAGGCGGCCCGGCCGACGCGGGTGCAGACCCCAGCGCCAGTGCCGGCCCGCTCGGGGTCAGTTATAGCCTGCGGGGGCGGACGGCCGCACCGGTGCCGGCGCCGGCTGCCGTCAGGTCAGGTCAGGTCAGAGCATCCTCCAAATTGTTGGAACTGTTGTGGTACAATTACCTGTGACGTCATGGTTTGCATCCTGTGGGCGGCATTTGGCAGCAGGGAACGCGGCCGTTGTACTACCCAGTCGCGATTATTTTGCCTTTCAACCTGTGTCGGCTCGTGCTAATATCTCCGTGGCACCGTCGTTTTAAAAAGCTACCATTCGCGAATTATGCGTCGTTGATTACAGATCGTGTAGCGTTTTCAGGTGCCACGGCAAGGCCCGCATGAACCGAAAATGTCGCTGCGTAGCCAGCATACGAAACAGTGGACATAAGCTGGACTACGGTTATCACTTACACCTAGTTCAACACAGATTTAAACGCATCTCAACAGTCAGTGACGGATTTTCCCGCTGACGGTTGTAGAGGTGGAAAAGAATGAAGGGGCATTTCCATCCCATGTCTTCGTAATGCCTCAAAATTTGTCAAACGTCCCTTGAGAGGGGGGGGGGGGAGGGAGACGTCGTCCCTGTCCCCCTTCCCCGCTCATATCCCACCTGATTACATGATAGTGTCTCGCGTAGGTACAGTTGTGCGCGTTAGCACTGATCACTACCAAGTAGATCGCAGATCACTGCGTGACAAATGCTGAATCAGTTCGGCTGGACTCTGCTTCGGACTCAGACCTGAATGGATTTTTGCATGGAAATTGGGAAGCCTTGGCCCGGAGGAAAACTGTTTTTTTTTTCGCAGCATACCCCTGTTGTTTCACCTGCCAGTATTCCAGCAGTCCAAAATGCAGCTAACAAAATCATGCCAAACTGTAGGTGCTATTTGGAAATTTCTGCCATTGCACAACAAGCAAAGTGTTTAATTCGCCACAATATTCAGCATTCA